TGTACATGTCCCAAAGCCTTGTAATAATTTTATTTCTTGCACTTTTATTCGCTTTATTTATTTTTCAGTCCAAATCGGGTCCGGTTTAATTTTGGCGATGTGGACCCGCGCCATTTGTAATAGTTTAGATTTATTTTCCCGCAAATATATAACTGTTAAAAAGCATGCAAGAATGAATGTCTTAATTAAAATCAAGCGTAGAACACAAATAAACATGACAAGACAAATAACTGAAACATGACGCACAATTCGCACACACCACCCCTAGGGTACGCCTCACCTGTTGCCTTTCGAAAGGTGGTCGTCGAGTAGAGGACGTCTTAGTAAGTCCTCATGATCCGGGAACCTGGCATGAGGGTAGCTTCTAAGGTGTCTTCCCATTACTCCGGTGATCACCATGTCCCTACAAACTCGAATTGACCCGAATACCTCCAACGGTGGTGCTACCTACCTCTCAATGGTGGGATGGCACTACTTTAAAGGACATTTACACAGACGAATTCCTTAGGGTAGGTAGGTTCTCAAGGATACTTGCTCAAATTTCAAACAAATCAAAACATCTTTTCACCAACACATTTTCAAAAGCTTTCAAAACAAACTTTTCAAACACTCTGACGCACGAGTCGAACTGAAACTTTTCAAAGAAACTTTTTTAAACCCACATTGAAAAGCAAGCAAACATTTTTGAAAACACATTGAGCAAGTATCTAAGAGCCCATGGATAACCATGGATAGAAAGGGTGCTAACACCTTCCCTTTCTATAACCTACCTCCCGAACCGAGAGCAATCTCTTTAAGGAATTTTTCTGTGCTTTTGTCCTTTCCATTTGGAGAAAATAAAAGATGGTGGCGACTCTTGCTTCCGCGACATTTCGCGAACCAGCTTTAAAACAGTCAGTTCCAGATCCACCGATCACAGTAACAAATTATTTGTTACCTCCCATTGAATCCACCTGAATTGGTCCACATACATCAGAGTATATGACTTCAAGAATAACCTTCGACCTGCTTCCTACATCCTTGCTGAAGCTATTCTTATGATGCTTCGCTTGCACACATTCCTCATATACCTCGTTTAGAATGTCGATTTCTGGCAATCTTGAAACCATATTTCTTCTCTTCAAATCTCTGATGTCTCTGAAGTTTAGATGGCCTAGTCTATAATGCCATATCCATTCATCCCTGCTAGCTGTAGTTGAATGGCACTTGTGCTCCATCACATTTAGTTCGATCTTGAAGGTTCTATTATGTGACATAGGAGCCTTCGAGATTAATCTTCCATTTTCATCGACGACTCTCATTATCTTATCTTCAATTGACACTTTATAATTCTTTTCGACCAACTGCCCTATACTGAGCAAATTACTCTTCATGCCCGGTATGTACAACACATTGGAAATTACTGACCTCTTGCCATCTTTCCTCATAATCATAACATCACCAATACCTTCAGCTTCTAGGGAATTCTCATTTGCGAATTTTACCATATTTTTCATTGAGGGCTTTATGTTGACAAACCAGTCTTTTCTTCCAGACATATGTGATGAGCATCCTGAATCCAAGTACCATTGGTCCTTGAATCTATCTTCATCTCTTGTTGTGACCATCAACATTCTCTCTTCTTCTTCATGTTTTACAAACTTTGCATCACTTTCTTGATTCTTTCGCTTTTCTGGACAATCACTCAAATAGTGACCATACTTCTGACAATTGTAACATTAAATGTGACTCTTATTAGGTTTTCGACCACCACTTCTTCCTCTATTTGCAACACCTCCTCTTTGGTTTCCTTGGTATGGTCTTCTCTGATTCGACACATTTTCTTTGTTCAGGTTTCCTCTACTAGTCGATTTGTTGTAGTCGCATCTACCTCTGTAGAACCACTTTCCTATGCCTTTGGTTTCTTTTGCTGAATGTTCCTACAAATCCATATCACTCTTCGACTTGCCTGCGGCTCTTTCATTCATTCTTTGTTCATGAGATTCAAGCGTCCCTTGAAGTTCTTCCTTTGTCAATTTCGACAAGTCTTTCCCCTCTTCTATAGTCACCACCACGCGGTCGAACTTAGGAGCCAAAGATCTCAAGATCTTCGAAACAATAACTCTTGTTGTTAATGTTTCTCCATATGCCTTGATTTGATTCACTAGTTTTGTAACTCTAGTGAAGAAATAAGATGCTTTCACTATCTTCCATATGAAGCAATTTATACGTTCTCTTGTGAGTTTGTAACATCATATCTTTCACCTTTTCTGCACTACCAAAGGACTTCTCAAGAACATCCTAAGCTTTTTTTGCAGATTCTGAATCACTTACTTTTTCAAAAAAATTTGGAATCACACATTGATGAATGAATTATAAAGAGTGCTTTATAACTCAGCTTCTCAATTTATGTGTGTTTCTTCTTTTCTTCTTCTGAAGCGTTTTCTCCAAGCGCTTCGAATGCATCTTTTACAAGATCCCAAAGACCTTGACACCTGAATAAAACTTTCATCTGTTTGCACCAATTCACATAGTTGTCTACTTTTAGAATTGGTATAGTTGTTGAATAATTTGCACTCCCATAATTTGCCATCGTGAATTCTTTTTCTTCCTCAATCGTTCTTGATCGATACTTCCTTGAATCGAAACTGAGCTCTGATACCAGATGTTAGAAATCTACACCAAATATCTATGATGGATTTCTACACAATGACAATGAATTATGAGAAAGAAAAGAAAAGAAAAAAGACAATTATTTTTTGCAGAGTTTCTCTCTGCCCACAAACTGTGGAAAACTTTATTATTGACTTTACAACTACAAAATACTGTGAATGACTTGATTGTCTTGATTACAAAACTTAGGGATTACTCCGTATTTATATATTTTGGTTAGCTCAAAGTCCAAAACTATAAAAGCACAAAATACATATTTTGGTACTAAATCAAATCTATCTATTTTAGATTTAAATCAAATCTATTTAAATCTAAAACAAATATAATCTGTGTGTTCTTCGACACACCATAATTTTGACAATATGAATTACAATTTAACAAATATGATATCATCATATTTTATCTCAATTTAGTGTTTAATTACACAACAGGATATTAGGGGTGTGCATGGATCAATAACCAAACCAAATTGAATCATATATATGATTTGGTTTGGATCTTAAAACTACTTCATTAAAACCAGTTTATATTTCTAAAACCGGTTTATATGTGGATCAATTCGGTTTTGAACCGGTTTCTCATAAAAACCAGTTTTTAAAACAAAAAACCAATTTTAAACCGATTTTTCTAAAACCCAGTTTTTAATTTTAAAAAAAAAAAATCAATTTCAAAACAGTTTTATAAAAAACAGTTTCAAAATCAATTTTTAAAAAAAAAAAACCAGTTTTAAAACCAATTTAAAAAAAATAAAGTTTTATATCAAAAATAGTTTTTTATTTTTAAAAGTTTTAAAATTATTTTATGTTAAAAACACTAATTTAAAAAAAAAATCTATTTTGATTTTTGTCCAAATATCTCTTTCAAGGTTGTTATAGCTTCTCATTATTTTGAAAAAGAAATGTAGATCCATTATCATGATACATATTGTAACTACCACAAACACACAAACACAGATTTTTGATGGATTTATTTTGAAAAACCTGAGGCATCATAGTGTATATATACTTGAGATAATTAAGAGAAAATCATAAAACAATAAAGCAACGCAAGAGGGAATTAGGTCATCATCATCTCCTTTTCATTATCATCTTATCTAAATTATCAGACTAAATCTTATTTTTTGGAAAAAGAATCTCTCATGCCTCATGTCTTCAGCCACCCGTCAAGCTCGTGAGAAATTATGAAGAATAAATAATAATAAAAAAATGAGTGCTAAAGTAGGGGTGTGCATGGTTCTCAAATCAACCCGAATTGAATCAAATATATGGTTTGGTTTAATTCTTCAAAACTGTTTTTGTAAAACCAGATTATTTTTTCAAAACAGGTTTATATTTGGATTGATTCAATTTAAAACCGGTTTCTACTAACCACCTGTTTTTTATTTGATTCAGTTAAGATTGATTTTTCTTAAAACTAGTTACATCAATTTTTTGTTTTAATCTTTTTTTTTGCTTAATCAGTTTGAAACTTTTATGCATACTTTGCTGGAAAACATTGGAAGGTTCAGTCAACATATTTTATTTTACTGTGTTATTTATTTTCTAATAATATTCGATATGTGAAGAGTTTTTATTAAGTAAGTTTGGTGTTTGGTGTTGTATATATAATTGAAATTTGGTTATAGTATTATGAAATTTGAATTTCAAAATGGAGATTCATGTCTTAGATTGATAAAAACTCAACTTCCATTATTGTGTTGTCATTCAAACACATTTGCAGATAAAATATATTATAGTGTATTTTTAAAACTAAAAGAATAATATTTATTGTAATATATTTAATGTTGGAATCCAAGAAAAAATTAACTGTCATTCTAGGTATTCAATTTGTAATGGTTCGATTTTGGCTATGTTGGAAATTTAGAGAGATACTTTTAACATTAGAGTAAATTAGTAAATTGGATCAGGAACAAGAACTGAATTTTAATAAAATGGGTATCCAATATTATTGGTTTTTCTTTAAATGGAATGAGTTAGTTAATAACCAAATCATTTGGATTTTTTATATTTGGAAACCAATTTTATGGTTATGGATTGGATGAACCGGTTAAAATACACACCCCTACAGGATATGATAAATTAATCATAAATCTTATCATATCCTATTATATCTTTATCATATCCTACGCATTAAACATATCCTTAAATCCTGAACTCGACTACCTTATTATTGCTAGAGATTTTATTTACCGAATAAAACACAAAGCTGCAACGAAATAGAAACCCTAGGCCTGCCTTAAAAACCCTGACAACCCAGCATACATAAGTAACGATAACACCTTCGTCTGTATTTCAATTTTACATAATCTCAATCTTTTCAATTTGTGATCGTGTTTTTCAAAGAGCAGAATGTCAATGGAAGACAATCTTCATCAAACCTCTTGCCAATGCGGTTTCCCAATCCAACCAAACTCAACAAGCATCTGCGTCAAATGCATGCAATCAAAAACCGATATCACATTAGGGTTACCCAACAAAATCAAACTAGTACGTTGCTCTCAATGTAATTTCTACTTACACCTCCCTAAAATCTGGGTCAAACTACAACCACAATCAATATTGATTCAATCCTTTTGCTTGACAAAGTTAAAAGCCAACATCAATTCCAATCAAGTGAGATTGCTCCGTGCTAAATCCGTTTCATCTGAATCCAATTCAAAGAGTATCAAAACTAGGGTTTATGTTGAGAAAGAGATTATCAATGGAGAAACTCTTCAACAATCTTATGTTGTTGAGTATGTTCTAGACAACCGCATATGTGACCCATGTAGTAGGGTTCAGGCTAATCCTAGTCAATGGGTTTATGCTGTCCAATTAGGAAAACATGGTTCTCATGCACGTAGCTTTTTGTATTTGGAACATATTATTTTGAAGAATGGTGTTACTGCTAATGCTGTGAGAATCCAGAAGATGAAACAAGGTACTGAATTCGCTTTCGCTAAAGAAGTTTGTGCTAGGAAGCTAGTTGATTTTATCAAGAGACAAGTATCGGTGTGGATTTGTGAGAGTAAGAGACTTGTTTCTCATGATAACAAGAGTAGTTATTACTGTTTACAATACACTTTCTTCGTTCAGGTTTGTTCAATTTGTTGTGAGGATTTGATTTTTCTGCCTCCTATTGTTGCTTCCAGTTTTGGAAATATCGGTCCTATTATGATTTGTACCGAAATTTCCAACATTATTACTTTGTTTGATCCATTAACCTTGAGACACTGTTTCTTAGACGGTGATACGTATTGGAGGGAACCCTTCAAGTCGATACTCACTAGCAAAGATTTAGTGGAATATGTCGTACTCAATGTCCATGAGGTTTATTTCGAGTTTACTATTAATAGCAAGAAATTCGGTTTAGCTAATGCTGAGGTTGCTCGTGTGAAAGATTTGGGAAAGAATGGCATGAGATTTAATATCAAGACTCATCTCGGTCATCTTTTGAAAACGGGTGACCATGCTCTTGGTTATGACTTGTGGGAGGCTAATTGTAGTGATAGTGAGATTGGATTGAAGGAGCACATAGGAGACGGTGTGATTTTAATCAAGAAGAGATCTGAAGAGAAACTTTACCAGAAGAGACGTGCAGTGCATCAGTCATGCTTAAAAGATTTAGAAGAAATCACTAATGAGGTGCATGACATGTCGCTAGGCGGCGAAGAACCAACTTTGGAAGAGAAGCTGGGTGATCTTAATCTAAGTGGTGAGAAATATAAGGAGAAGAAGAAGGCGAGGAGGATGGCATGATCGAATAATTTTATAGAGTACTTTTCTTTTTAATAAAATGAGGAATTTGAAATACAACCTAATGGGAGAGAACTTGAGAAATACATTTATGTTTTTGTAATGATTCTTAACATGCATATCTCTATTGTGTATGAACCAACTCAGTATTGCATTATAAATTCCCATTTTGATTGTTTTCAAATAGTTCTCTGCTTGTCTAAACTCTGACCTGTATAGGACCATGATGAAAAAGCAAGTCCTTTCTCTTCTAGTACATCAACCAGAAGTTATTTTTTTTTCTGTAAATTTGTGTTACTAATGTTACTTTGACAATTGATGAGTTTTTGTTTGTATCTTCATTCTTCAGGCATATACTATCTCTTAAATTTATTTACTTACATTATATTGAAGTAAGAGTTCTTGAGTGAAGAGGCTTATTAATCCTCAAATTTGAACCTATCGACCAACTTTTACTCATACTTTTAGACATCATGGTTACATTTTACTTGTTTTTATATGTATTTGTAGGATGGGGAAGGCAAATGTATATTCTTTTAGGGATTAAGATTGAAAATAAGTCGAGCTAATTAGTTGAGCTTTGTTCATCTCGAGTTAACAAGAATGTGATTAATTTGAAATTTAGTTCGAGTTTGTTACGATTTTTTTTCTAGCTCAAATTCGATTTAATTAAAGTTTACGAATAATTTGACTTGGCTAATTAGCTCAAACTTGGTATAACTAAATAACTCAAATAAATTGGAACAAAAAAATTAAATTTCTTCGGCACATAACTCTTGGCTCGAAAGTCCTTAATCTATAGAGACGACACATTTCTCTTTGAAGGGTGTTCAATTAAGTTTCACAGTTTCTTGGGTGTCCAAGTTTATAGTTCCGTCGGATTGGACATCTTTATGTTTTTGGTCTTGAGTCGGAGATGTACGCTACTACAAAAAATACATCTAATTAGTGTCAGACGCGAAATGCATTTGATTTCGTATTGGAATCTAGGTAACGAATGGCGTCATAAAAAGTTACTCCTTATCACTTCGGGTATTAAAACGTCGAGGAGGTAACGAAGGGCGTCATAAAAAGTTACTCCTTATCACTTCGGATATTAAAACATCGAGGAGTGAAGTTAACTACACATGGATTTTATTCTCAGCATCAACATTTTTATTATTTTCAGAACTGGATGACGCACCTAATATTTACACCCGGTGTTTTGAAGAACCGAAGTAATATATCAATATTCTTACCTTAATTTATTTTGGAAACTGAGAGGTTAAGATTTGATTTTTTTTTCTACTGGCGTTTGCACTTGAATTACATAACTATATTACAAAATACATAACCATATTTTACATATTCCTGAAACAGAGGCATTGTACATTTAACCAATCCTCAATCTGAAACAGAAATATTCATTAACTACACTAAATACAAATTCAAAATGGCACACATTTTATAAATTTACATCAAAACTAAAACAAATTATTAAGAAACAAAGCCTTTGTAAAGATATCAACAAGTTGATTCTTAGTGAAAGCATGCTCAAGAGTTATAACTTTGACCTCCACAAGTTCTCTAATAAAGTGGTGCCTGATGTCAATGTGCTTGGTAATACTATGATGAATAGGATTTTTGGAAATATTAATAGAACTCAAATTGTCACAAAATCATGTCATGACATCTTATGTGATATTATACTCAGACAACATTTGCTTCATCCACACCAGTTAACAGTTGCTTCCTGCTGCTATGTACTCAGCTTCAGCAGTAGACATAAACATAATTTTGTTTCTTGATGAACCATGAAATCAAATTATTTCCCATAAAGAAACATCCTCCCGAGGTACTCTTCCTATCATCATCAAATTCAGCTTCCTTTTGAGGTTCCTCCATCGCGGCTTTAATTAAGCCTTCAAACTCGATCTTCCAAGTTGTGTTGATTCTGATGGAGTTCTCAAATTCCCCGACAGACTCTTGCAACTGAGAAATTATCTTTACTTTTGAAGTTTTGGGCACTGGTACCTTCAAATATGTTACAACAATGTCTGAGACATGTATTCCACTGCAAATTTTGATGCAGGGATAAGATAATTCCTCTTTTCTTCACATTATCTGTATCCAATAAGATACCAGGACATTGTTCCAATATTATGCTTCAGATGAGTGAGGGAAAACAAATTAGCATCTTCACAACATTTGAATCTCCTTGCTTTAAGACTTTCTCAAACATATATGCTCCAAAATCAGCCTCTAACATTTTCCCAACATCATAGATGAACCTACCAAGTCCAGTAGAAATGATGGAGATATGTTGTATGGGTACCCAATTAATCGTAACAATCCTATGAAGGATAGCATACTTGACACTAACTCTTCCAGCTGACAGTTTTCCATTATTTGGTCGGTGCTTCACTTGACCACTAGTTATCTCCCTGCAGATTTGGTCATCTGAGTCTTTTAACTTTGTCTGAGGAACTTCAGACCTACCTAAGAAATTGTTGATCACCTTAGGTGAAAAACTCACAACTTTTCTACTCTCAATCACCTTTCCATAGTCTACAGTTTCCACATTTTTACATTCAAAAGGAATATTCACCTCAAACTCCTTGACCAATTATTCATTGCAAGGACCAAAATCAGTGATAGTCTTAATCAAGCCAGTTGTCTTTATGAGTTCCACTACCTCAATACACTTCTGAAAATCCTGTCTCAGTTCCCTTTTCAGGCCTACCCTCCTTCGTTCAACGTGTTTCCACTTCTCTGCATTCTCCCTATGATGGAAGTACATTTTGTCCACAGATGCTTTATGAATAACAATACAACTCTTCTTTGAGCCAAACCTTTTAACAAGAATGATATCCTGGACATCTTTTGTGACTTTATAAGCAAACAACATTGTTGTGGCTTAATACTTCTTCCAATAGCTTTCTTGGCCCTCATACATGTTACAGAGCACTTTGTTTCTTCAAGACTCCACAAATAGAAATTGTCTTTTGATCTGCCACCCTTCATGATAACCTCATCCTTCTCATTTGTTATTAGACATTCAGAATTACTAAATTTAACTCTGAGACCTTGATCACATAGTTGACTTATACTTATCAGGTTAGCATCTAATCCTTCAACAAATAGAACATCATCAATGCTAGGCTGTCCTGCATTACTTTACCTTTGGATCCATCTTCATAAGTCACTGTTTTAGTGGAAGATGTTTTGATTCCCACTAAGAATTTCTTGAAACTTGTCATGTGTCTAGAACAAACATTATCAAAATACCACGCTTCTCCAGGTGAAGCTTTGAGAGAGATGTGAGTTACTTCCTTAGACGTACCATTTTTAGGAATCCATCCTTTTTATTTATTCACACTCTGTCTTCTTCTAGATTGTGGTACATATTTTGGATAGCCATATAACTTGTAGCAGTCAGGTTTCAAGTGACCAACCTTTCTATAGTAAGAATATTTCCATCTCTGATTCCCGCCTCCCTTGTACCTTGTTTGATGTCTATGTTGATGTTGGGGTATGTGATTTGATATCTTCTGCTCTTGATCCTTCATTGTGAGTACAAACTTTACTTCATGCTTTACTTCTTTATTCTTCACACCTTGACTGTCATAATCAAGACCTCTAACATTACAAGCATTCCTCCCAGCTTCAAGAATTTCATTTAGAGCATCAGAACTATTAAATTTAACATTTTTACAGATTTAGTCATATTGTTCAGTTTTAAATTTAGCAATACAACTTCCTCCTTCTGATAAAAAATAATGGATAAATGTTTTACTTCCTCGTCCTGTAGTTGAGAAATGACTCTCTTTTGCTCTTCTCCTTGTTGACACACTTCTTCACTTTTGATACATAACTCCCTGTATGAGACGGTGAGTTCCTCAAAAGTAAGTTCTCCATCATCTAATTCTTCATCAGAATCATAAACTCCAGTCAAGGTATACACTTGTTTGACTGATTCCTCTTCATGATCGCTTTCAGAGTCTTCCTTTGACCATGACACAGGTAGACCTTTCTTCTGCTTCTTGAGATAAGTGGCACACTCGAATATTATATATATATATATATATATATATATATATATATATATATATATATATATATATATATATATATATATATATATATATATATATATATATATATCCAAATCCCTCACATTCATAGCACTGGACCCCTTTTCCCTGATTTGGATTTTCTTTAATCTTGGACTTTCCTCCATGGTCCTGATTTTTGTTGATGTCGAATGACATGTTCTTGGCATTTGACCTGGACTACCTCAGCACTTTGTTGAACTGTCTTTCTAGCAACACAAGATCCTCAGCTACTCCTTCTAAGTTCAACTCACCACTATCCTCTGATTCTTCAATACTAGAAACAAAGGCTATACTCTTCTTCTTTTCAGACCTTTCATGATAGCAGATTCAAAGGTCTAAAGGGAGATTACAAGTTCATCCATAGTCATAGTGCTTATATCGTGGGATTCTTCAATGGAAATCACCTTCATGTCAAACCTTTTTGGAAGAGATCTGAGCATCTTCCTGATCAGCTTATCGTTTAATATCTTCTCTCCCAAGTCTTTTGAGTCATTAGAAATGTCTAGAACAATCACGTGAAAGACCTGAATACTTTCATCCTCCTTCATCTTCAAGCTCTCAAATTTTGTCGAGAGAAGTTGAAGTTTTGCCATCTTTACCTTAGAATTTCATTCATGGACATTCCTTAAGGTCTCCCAAGAAACTTTAGCATGATTACAATTCTTTATCAGCTTGGAAATTTTTTTATCAACTCCATTGAATATGACATTCAATGCTTTGGAGTTTCCTTGGGCTGATAACTCATCAGCATCATTCCAATCTTCTTTAGGTTTCAGCACATCAGTAAATTTTCCATCTTCACCCACAACCTTTGTTGGATCCCATCCTTTGACAATATTTTTCCAAGCCTTGTTGCCCAGGAATTTTATGAATATTTACATACGAGGTTTCCAACTGTCATAGTTGGTA